ATATTATTTTGATTTGGGATAAAGTACAAATAAGCCACTGTACTATTTGGGAAAAATCAATTAAGCCATCGAACTCAAATAACTCCCAAATAAGCCATTGAACCCGGAAAAAAAGAGCAATTATCATTTTTAACAGGTTAACTCCAGGTTTTTGCTGATTGGATTGCTAAATGTTTATTTTATTTACCTTTTTTTATTATTATAATCCACCTACATAGTAAAATATTTTAAAGTAATTATAATCAAAGTAGTTTTGTTTTGTCTAGATCTAATTTATTTATTTACTATTATTTTTTAAACAAAAGATCCAGTGAAAAATAATAATAATAAATAAATCGAATCTCGACAAGACAAAACTATTTTGATTATAATTACTTTAAAATATAATACTATCCAAGTGGATAATATTATTAAAAATAATAATAATAAACGTAAATAAAATAAACATTTGGCAATCCAATTAGCAAAAACCTAGAGTTAACCTGTAAAAAATGTTAACTGCTCTTTTTTTCAGGGTTCAATGGCTTATTTGCTCTTTTTTCTCGGGTTCAATGGCTTATTTGATGGTTATTTGAGTTCGATGGCTTAATTGCTGTTTTTCAAATAGTTCAGTGGCTTATTTGTACTTTATCCCTTTTGATTTTAGTATTTTTAATGATTTTCTTTATTTACCTTCTATTATATTATTTTCTTCCCTTAAATAACATAAATTTTATTAGTATAAACTTTAGTAACGGAATATTCGGTTAACTATTTATTATTCTTAACTTACTCATTAATTTCTAAAAGAAAGGTCTTAGGTTCGAATCCCATCCCAATTAGAGTTGACATAATTGTTGAACATATACTACGAATATGTTAAAATATATTTAAAAAAATATATAATATAAAATTTAACATAAACTTTGTTCAAATAATTAGTCCAGCTAAATACATAACATTCAAAGTTAACAATCAAAGATTATAAATCAAGAACTTTAAAAATCATTTGATTTTTATGAATATAAAAAAAAAAATTAGGTTAAGTTTTTTTTTTTTTTCGTTTAATTAATCTTTTTTTGATTATTTAGATCAGAACAAAATTTAATATTTCAATTATACTTTTGCATTATCGGTATGTATATTTTATAATGGTACAATTGTACATTACTTTACAAATATTATACTATTTTTTTTATCGGACAAAATTATTCTTACATCGTTGTCAAGCCTGCGCGACCTAACTACAAAGTTGTTAATCATAAATACAATTACACCTGTACTCTAACACGGTAGGATCATTTTCTAACGAAGTGACAATGTTGACATCCCACTAGCTCCATAAGTTTACACATCAGAATGTTATCAATGCATGAAAACTTCTAAAGAAATTTGTAAGTTAATTTTTACTATATCATTATAACAATATCTATTGTAACTATATATTTTGAATCATTTATTATCATCCTCTATTGACATTAATTGTAACAATTGTACAAACTCTCAAAATAATTTGTCTCAACAACGAATGTAAATTAAAAAAAATTCTATGATTTCATTATTGTTGATGAAAAGTATGTACGTCACTTAATTACTCTTATTAAATTAAATAAAGTAGTAGCTACAACAAAAAATAATACATATGCATTTAATTAATTTAGAATTAGATGTCTATAATGCTTTTATTTTTATTTTTTTAAAATTATTCATTATAAAAAATTTAAAAAGAGAAATAATTTCACCCACGCACCCTAGATATAAAAATGACCAAATTGCCACTGCATTTTTTTTTTAATCTTAGTAATCTTGGACATTGATTTAAGCAAGATCAATGGCTTAAATTCAACCGCACCAACCGCATTTGAACCTAATTATATATATGTGTATATATATATATATATATATATATATATATATATATATATATATATATATATATATATATATATATATATATATATATATAGTTGAGTTTAAATGAGGACCACAATATATAGAGGACTGTGCGGACTGATTACGGGCACACAACAAATTAGTATCATGCACACAATTTAATATACAATGGCATACAAGAATATATGTAAACATCATGTTTCGAACCCAAGCTCTATTAATTAACAAACCTATGCACACAACATACAAATTATGGCACACAACTACATTAGGCCATGCACACGACATACAGCCTAATGGCACACGACTACACCAGTCCGCACAGTCCTCTATAATATAGTGGTCCTCATTTGAACTCAACTCTCTCTCTCTCTCTCTCTCTCTCTCTATATATATATATATATATATATATATATATATATATATATATATATATATAGACCCCTAAGGACAAACAATTCTGAGCAATGCAACATATTAATTCTCTCCATATATTTTCTCTATATTTTTTTTTTCATATACTCGTTATTTTAATATAATGGTTGTGTTGATCTGCCGTTGACTGTCCAAGAGTCATAAAGCTAATATTCGCTCTATTCGTGGGTATCGCTACAAATAGTCCCGTGGTCCCTATCTTTAAAAAATCCTCCTTAAATAACCAGCTTCTGCTAAAAGAAAACTGCTAATCTACCACCCTTATACAAGGGTATCCGCGACCCTTGTACAAGGGTCGCATATGATTGAGCTTTTCGCAACCCTTTTTGTTGGGTCGCGAATTTATTTATTTATTTATTTTTAAAAACATAGGGTATCCGCAACCCTTTTCAGTAGACACGGTTATAAATACGCCTTATTTCAAAAAACTAATTTTTAAAAAATAAATTAATAAATATTAAAACTCCTAAAATCTACACAGCTGGAACTTTCACTATGGAGAGCACAGAATTTATGCAAAGTATTCACATTTAAAAAAAAAATTATATTAACTGCGTTTCTGCTCGGAAACTCGACATGTATTTTTTTTTTTAAAAGAAAATGCGTCCCTTTTGTTTAAAAATGGTCGCGATTTCTTATGAGTTTATTTACAAGTTTGTCAATGTACATTTAAAAAAAAAAACAACTTTTTGCAACCTTTTTTTTCAAAAAAAAAAAAAAAAAAAGTGGCGAAAAGTCGATCAGATTTATATATGCTATTTTTTGTACGCTCATTGGATATAGTATATATGAGTGACTATATACCAATTTCAATAACAAAATTGTCTTTGTAATTCACACTTATTATTACATCATTCATATGTTTGAATTGTATACGGTGTATGTCTTACTGACACCAAGCTATATAAGATCTTAAAATTGTACAACAAAATATTACTGATGGGAATTGAAATGTATTTAATTCTCAAACGTTGCTATTAAAGGTTGACTTTAATGAGAGTGTTTTTTTTTTTTTTTTGAAAATAGGGTGGGCGTGTTTAATCGCACATATGTTTAGGGATTAGGGAAGCAAATGAGTGTAGACTGCAGAGATAACATTTTATTAGCTTATCGACATTTTGGTTTGGTCATTTTTCTTGCCTTGCCGAATAGAATCAAGCTAAGCTATTACTTTTTTGTTGATGTAATTGGGTGGCTTGTTCTAGATTTATATGGGCTATGTTTGCTAAAATGTTAGTCTATCAGTTAATTTTAATTCTTAATTGATTACTATTAATAGTTTGACTTGGTTAAAAAAATCAATATAAGTGTTTGGTTAATTAGCTTTCTGTAACTTCAAAATGCTAAAATTCAAAAAGCTACTCAAAGCAATTTTTTCAATTAGTTTTTTGAGAAAAGAAATTATACTAAACAGTTATCAGGTAACAGTTAATTTACCAAACACCTTTCTACAATAAGCTAATGTTATCAACTAGTTATACCACTAATTAACCCAATCAGTTAACAGCTAACAACCATTTACCAAACAGGGTCATATTCTTGTTTAAGTTTTGCTTTTATAATGTCATGTGTGTTGAAAAAATAGCATTAAAATGACATTTTAAGTAACTATTTTGTGGTACAATTATCAGTAGGGTCCACTTCCGATTTGGGTCGGGTCAAAGTGGATTTGGGTTCTTCGTAGTGAGACGAAGAGATTGATATATTGTACGCTCAAAACGGATAATAGGTGAATGAGATATTGATTCTCAAAGTAGACCCATTGAGTTGGAAAATTAAGGGAAAAAGTGAGCTTTTGCCCCACATTGGTTTGGGAAGAGGATTTGTCCCACTATTTATACAAGAGTCCTTTAAAGGCTTATTGAATTGTATAGCATAAAGGCTCTCTCTTGCGCGCAAAGGGGGTGATTGAAAAGGCTTGATTCAAACTTGAGTTGGAAGGCCAATTGCTCTAGTTTGATAGGTGGCTTGATTCAAACTTGAGTTGGAAGGCCAATTGCTCTAGTTTGATAGGTTCGAACCTAGGCCACAACGCTCTGAGCACTCTTGGGAGGTGGAAAATAAGGTTTTTAAGGAAAGAGTGATCTCTTGACTCGCGCTAAAAATCCTATACTCATAGACGAGCCATCTTTCGGTTTTGGATTATGCAATTATAATATGAGGATTATACGTTCCAATTTTGGTTGATATATATTTGTATATCTTTTTCGTAGATATATATATATATATATATATATATATATATATATATATATATATATATATATATATATATATATATATATATATATATATATATATAGCTAAAATGGTTTTTCGGGCGATAGAGAAAGCTAGAAAACTCTATTATCAATATTGGAATTATCAAATTTGGACCCCTAGAAGAAGAAATTTTGTTTCTCTAATTTCACGAAAGGAAAACCTTTTTCGCTCTGCTTAGCCTTATCCCCCAACAAGAATTTGGTCATTTTTACGAACTTGATGTCGCTAAATCTGCGAGTCTAGAAATTCATTTCGGCCAATTGAACTTTCTCGAACTGTTTCTTTTTCAGAACTACCCCATGGCTGGATAGATAAATGTTTGGATTTTTGCAATTATTTTTTAACAGGGGTTGCTGAATATCAAAAACTTATTACACAGAATCCCATTTTTTTAGAACGAGTTGAAGGTATAGGCACTATTAGGGCAGAAGAAGCAGCAATTTATAAATCACAGGCTGAAACAGGTGAAATCAAAGGACATTACTTGAATGCTACTGCAGGTACATGCGAAGAAATGATGAAAAGAGCTATATTTGCTAGAGAATTGGGAGTTCCGATTGTAATGCATGATTACTTACCATAGGAGTTTGTCGCTAGGTATTTGACCAAATAGGATCGTCCAGTTCCTATAGAACCTATCACTAAAATACCCCTAGAGGGGGATAAGGCTAAGCGGAGCGAAAAAGATTTTCCTTTCGTGAAATTAGAGAAACAAAATTTCTTCTTCTAGGGGTCTAAATTTGATAATTCCAATATTGATAATAGAGTTTTCTAGCTTTCTCTACCGCCCGAAAAACCATTTTAGCTATATATATATATATATATATATATATATATATATATATATATATATATATATATATATATATATATATATATATATATATATTTCGGATATATATTGAATAATATTTTATATACTTATGTGTGTGTATATAAATATTATTTTGCGATATTAAATCGATTTTGGTTCATTATCACCAACAGTGTGTACCAAAAAAAATAATTTTATAATTCACAATTTTTTGTCTATGTCTTATAGAAACCAAGCTAAGATCCTAAAATTGTGTGGGCAACAAATTTTGTAGATAGTGGATTGAAATGGATATAATAATTCTCAAATTATAATTCACAAAATCTTGCAATTAGAGGTTGGTAGTACTAATTCTCGGGTGTACTCGTAGTGCATATTGTATATTGTATGTATGTAATGTACGAACAATATACTAGAGAAGAGATAGAGCAAATGTGCTTCTTTTATTAATGTTTTTGTATCTTTTGTAGAGAGAAGGGAGAGCAAGGAGCCCATTGTAGAGAGGGAGAGAGTGGAGAGTTAAGAGAAGGACCCCCCACTCTGAGCGCTAAGGGCCCTTTTATAGGTCACAATAAGATGACAGGTTTGACCCGTCATCTTTGACCTTGACCCGCTGACTATGATCACGACCCGAACCGTTTGACCCCGACCCAAATAGGAGCACGGGGCGTACGGGGAGCCTGAACTCGGGGTATATTTCCCATCAAGAAGCCCCTCCAGTCCGTGCCCTGAAGATGAGTTAATGAGGAAGGGTTCGGGCTGGAAAACTGACTTCGGTCCGCGACTTACGTCGGTTGTCTTGTTAAAAACCTTCAGCTAATAAAAAACCCAATGGGAAAAATTTTTAGCCAAGGAAAAAAGAGCACAACGCTAAACGCAGTCTGGTGGACTAAAATGGGGGTTGCCCAGACGGGAAGCTGGCTAAGATCGGGAGATCGGGTTAGCTGCGATCTAGAGGTCTAGTTTATCGGTCTATCGACCGGGTTGCTGGGTACGAACGGGAGGTTAAACTAATTTTCGATTTAGGGATCGAACTTTCTACGATCTAACACTAGGAGACCCGATGGTCTAACGATAGCGAGATGTGCTCGTTTACGAATCAAAAATCCTAGACAAAGGGACACTAGGAGACTCGATGGTCTAATGATAGCGAGATCGGGAAGGTCGGTTAACTCGGGAAATGATGACGGAACCGGGAAAATCGGTCTACACAAGAAGTGCTTTTGGCGAACGAGCTACTCTACAGCGTAGCCCCCCACTCCCTTAGGTGCGAGAATCGTCAGCATAAGGGTGTAGATGCGGTGGGTTCTCGAGTTTGCCTTCTCACTTTGATTGCGATCGGGAATGACCTGATCTAGCTGACCGCGGCGGTGCACCACCGGGCGACTTGCCTAATCTATAGGACTTTGAAACTTTGCTAGATCTAAAATATACCGATCAAGGGATCGGACCTCTAACGCGATAGAGGATTTATACGCTACCAATCGAGCGATCAGATTTTGGGTGTGATTAAGCGATAAAAAAACTGACCAATCACCAGATTAGTTTTGAACTGGGTCGGAAGTCCGACCTCGCGGGCTCAATTGCCTAACTCGTAGGTCTTAAAGCCAAGATACGATCTCAAGCTAACTAGGCCAGTGGTGGCAAGGCCACCCCAACCGGTCGAAAAATACCTACCTTGTAGGCCTTAAAACCGAGACATGATCATGATCTCGAACCAGCTGAGCCGGTGGTGGCAAGGCCAACCTAAATGGTCGAAGAAGTGCCTACCTCGTAAGGCTTAAAGCTGAGATACGATCTCGGGATATCTAGGCCAGTGGTGGCAATGCCGATCTAACCGGACTTATCATATGACTGGAACTGGAGGACCTTTGTCCTTTTTGGTACAAAACTGAAACAAAAGGAACCTTGTCCTCTTCGAGCTTGGGCCGGAACTATAGGAACCTCGTCGTCTTCGGTATGGAACCGGTACTATAGGAACCTTGTCCTGTCTCTTCGGTATGGAACCGGAACTATAGGAACCTCGTCCTGTCTCTTCGGTATGGAACCGAAACTATAGGAACCTCGTCCTGTCTTTTCGGTATGGAACTGGAACTATAGTTTATGCGACCTTGCGGTCGTAAGTTCGGAGCCTCATCCGATTGGTCCGGATACCAAAATTGCCTATTTAGTAGGGATTGATGCCGGGACTTTTCCCGAACTTAACAATGTCGGTGGTGGCGTGCCCAACCTAGCCGAGCTTAAGGTGCCAGTGGTGGAAATACCACCGTACCCTAACCGGACTTAGTACATTTAATTGTGCTAACTATTACAATTTTCTAAGTCACTAAACTAGAACTAAGTGACTAATACAACCTACACTTTAGCTTATACACTCTATGGTGTAGAATTACTACAATTTACAATTAAATATAAATTAAAGTGTTACAACTTTAAAGATATTGGGATACTGCTTGTTGTGCCTTTTGCTCAAAGAAGATAACGCGTGTTTGGCTCCACACACCTCGTAACAGGCCGACCATCATATCCTCTAAATACTAAAAATGGTTCTGCCATGGACATCAATCGGATTTTCAATAGATTAATCTGCTCGGGAATCAAATGCTAATATTACCGGTCTGTTAATGTAGACCCGGACCCGACTACACCCAAAATACAGTCTACTTTCATCTCAGAGTTCGTGTATGTAGAGGAAGGAACGATCATCACCGATCCTAATTTCTCAATCGGTCAGTCAATGAAACTCAGCTTCTACCATGCTCGGGATAACCCTCTGAAACATCAGTGAAATCAACAACACCGGTCAGCGAAGTTGAGAAATCCGTGCCTATTGCTGTCGGTGCGACCGGACTTACGCTTAGCAATGTTGCAGTGTAAGATTTTCCCTAATAATATATATTATATATTATATATTAGGGCCTTAATTAAGTGGTGCAACTTGAGTAGGCTTATTAAGTGGTCTGGTTGGACTTAATAACTAGTAGTTGTTAGTCAACCAAACTCTGTGCCTAATATAACCTGGATTGATGGGATACAGGATTATGGATTAGATATCACATTCAGTTATGGTACTCAGAATGCTCAGTAGATACCAATACACCATCTAGGGTTCTGAGTCAGGTCTGAGGCAAAACATGGCTGACGGTCTACCGTTAGGAGGCAACACAACAGGAACATCAACTATGGCTGGAGATCAACACGGCTACGCTTCCGATATCATACAAGGTTAGGTTTCTCGTATACTATGGTTCATATAGTTAGACTATTGTATATCTAACATGCAGTTCATAGCACAAATGATCGTTGCGGTTAAAGAGGGGCCGGCGATCATCTGACATCTGATTGGAACTGGATACTTGCCGGGTGACACTGATTCTTCCAGACTGAAAATCTTCTTCGAGCTCATGCTCTGCGAGACAATACAAAAGATTACTAGTCTGACCAGTTACTGTACTAGTCTGTCCAGTTACTGTAGTTGGAGGAGTTATAACGGTCGACCATTGCTCTGGAAGTAACAAAAAGCTTCAAGCTTGGGGAAACACAGAAGTCCCTTCTCGTAGTGCAATCCATATGAGAAACTGACTGTCCGCCACCTCACCCTTCGAGCAGAAAACTTCAACCAGCTTTGCCATGGATGCCCGGTAACTTCCCGGCTGGTGCGCCTTTCTTGAGAGGCCGTGATGAACTTTGCGCCAAGAAATGATCGGAGACATGCCCGGAGGTGGCCCTAGAAATACGCTCGGAACTACAGCGGTTAGCTGATGCTCGGAATACAAATATGTATACATACTTACTCTTAGATTGGGAACAAGCCAAGGTGACAGCTCTTGATTACTCAAATGGCGATATTAGCTCGGCGATTCTCGAGGAAGGTTGAACTAGGGAACCATTGATGCTATTGCAATGTTGGTTTCTGAACAACTTTATGTAACGTTTATCCGTTCTAGGGAACCCATGAATTAGAGAAGTTTCTTGGGGAGGAATACTAGTTCTATGGCCCTGGCTTAAAAGCTTTGTTGCTACTAGTCCCTTTGCGACGCTACTCTGTCTAAGGAGTTGGTTTTTAACCGAGCTTCACCTCGACCAACTTTCTTGGGAGTATACCTAAGAATTGTCTATCATATTTTGGTTTAATCTGTTTGTTTATTAGGCCTTCTTGCTAATGTGATTATGTTCTTTGGTTAATTAAAGAGTAGCCACAACATCTTTAATTTACCAAAATTACATATTAAATTTTACTCACATAAAGTTAATGCAAGAATATTGTAATTCACTCTGCGTGATATGGCAAAATTTAGCCCACAGGCAATTTTGTTATATTTGTAGGGTGAATTAGGATGAAATACCATACTATGATCATAATTTGCCCACAGAGATTATGTATCGGCATATAGTTTTGGTAGTTTTGTCATTAAGGGTGGAAAAATCAAAATCGCACCCATTCCGTTTCCACCATTCAGTTTTGGTAAATTCATTATGCGTAAAAATTTAGCCCACAGGCAATTTTTATGGCATCCGAATTTATTTTTTGCATAATTTTACATTGGTAATATTATGTACTTCAGTATCTCTCTCTAATTTTTTGTGCCTCGAAAATTCTAACCAAGCAATAATTATTATTCTTTACAGTAACTCATCCTATCACCCAAACACAAATTAATGTTCCAATCCTTAATGAAGATAACCACAAAGAGTGGAAAGATGCTATTCTCCTGCAATTAAGATTGTTAGAGTTGGATTACGCTGTTCTCAATGAGGATCCCCCAGAGGTTACTGGATTACGATGGGAGAAATCCAATCGATTATGTGTGGTCTTCATTAAGTCACGAATTTCCAGAAAAATTTGTTTTTGCTTTGAGGACATTAGGAAAGCTAAGCCCTTGCTCAATGCTATCGATGATAACTTCATTGTATCAAAGAAAGTTTTGGCAATAACTCTAATCATGAAGTTTAGAAATTTGCGTCTTTTCATTGTCAAGGGAACGCGTGAACACATTGTGCAACTCAGGGATATTGCGGCTCAATTAAAGAAGTTGGAAATCATTGTACCAGATGATTATTTGGTGCGTTTTGCACTTGATACCCTCCCTCAGGAGTACAATCCTTTTAAGATTTCCTACATCACACAAAAAGTGGACTGGTCTATCAATGAATTGATAACCAGGTGTGCAATGGAGGAACAAAATCTTGTGGCTAAGCTTGGGTATGTTCCATCTTCTTTTGTTTGTTTCAAATCTAACATGTCAGAAGTTAATACTAATTCTTGGTGGGTTGACTCTGGTTCTACAATCCACATTGCAAACTCTTCGTAGGTTTTGACAAAATTGAGACAGCCGATGGGAACTGAGTGCAGCATCTTCTCTGGAAACAAGATTACATCACCAGTCGAAGCTGTCGTAGTTTGCAATTTAGTTTTGGACAATGGTTTTGTATTGACATTAGAAAAGACATTTTATGTTCCTAGTTTTTCTAGGAACTTAGTTTCAGTATCTAAACTTGTACCCTTCAGATATTCTTTTGAATTTAATACCAATAATATCAAGTTAGTTCATTATTCTACTTGTGTTGGTACTGGTACATTGTCCAATGGTCTTTTCCGTCTTAAATTAAAGAATGATTCAGTTTACAATTCTTTACATGTTCAAAACGGCACCAAATGGTGTAGTATTAACGACAATTCCTCAATGTTGTGGCATCGGAGATTAGGTCATATCTCCCTTGAGCGTATTAAAAGGTTAGTAAAGGATTGAGTACTTTTTACTCTAGACTATACTGACTTTGAGACTTGCATTGACTGCATTAAGGGTAAGCAGACAAACAAGTCAAAGAAAGGTGCCAATAGAAGTACAACGTTGTTGGAAATTATTCATACTGACATATGTTGTCTTGACATGACAATACCTGGTTAGAAATATTTCATCACCTTTATTGATGACTTTTCAAGATATTCCTATGTGTATTTACTTCATCATAAACATGAAGCATTGGATGCCTTTAAATCATTTAAAGCTGAAGTTGAAAACCAATGTAACAGGAAAATACACATAGTTAGGTCTGATAGGGGTGGTGAATACTATGGTAGATATACTGAGAATGGACAAGCACCTGGTCCCTTTGCTAAGTTTCTTCAAGAGCATGGATTGTTGCCCAATACACCATGCCTGGTTCTCCGGACCAAAATGGTGTAGCTGAAAGAAGAAATCGGACTCTTCTAGATATGGTGCGGAGTATGCTTAGCAACTCTAAGCTTCCGAAGTCGTTGTGGGATGAAGCACTTAAGACGGCAACGTATATATTAAATCGTGTTCCAACCAAGGCTGTCCCTAAGACACCATGCGTGTTTGGGGATGTCCGTCTGAGGTGAGGATATATCACCCACACGAGAAGAAACTTGACCCAAGGATGATTAGTGCTTTCTTTATTGGATATGCACAATCTTCTAAGGGTTATAGATTCTATTGTCCATCTCATACTACTAGGATAGTGGAATCAAGGAATGCTAAATTTCTTGAAGATGACTTGATTAGTGGGAGTGATCGGTTTAAGGACTTAGTTCCTTCCTTTGATCATACTGACTCTCAACCTTCTATGTCATCTGGTGGGGTTGTACTTATCCGCAGTGCTCCTTTAGTTCTGCCTGCAGATATACCACCTACCGTTGAGGTTCCACAAACTGTTGAGGATCAACCTTTGGAAGAACCAGTTCAGGACTCATAGCAACCGCCTGAACTAGATTTCGAACCAATGGTTGAACCAACTCAGGATATACAACAAGATTCTGAGCCGATGCAGACTGAACCAATTCAAGAACTGCCACCAGTTCCTGAAGAGGTAGTTGATCCGCAGCCTGTACAAGGCGATGGGGGTCCAACCTTAAGACGGTCTACTCAGATAAGGCGATCAGCAGTTCCTAGTTATTATGTTTCATATCTACAAGAATCTGACATAGGGGCCGAAAATGATTCTGAAACATTCTCTCGAGCCACAAATTGTGCACAGTCTGACTTATGGTTGGAAACCATGAAGGATGAAATGAATTCCAAGAAGGACAATGGAGTTTGGGATCTTGTTGAGTTGCCTAATGGGGCCAAGGCCATTGGCTGTAAATGGGTTTTTAAGACTAAAAGAAACTCATTAGACAACATTGAGAGATACAAGGCCTGGCTTGTTGCCAAGGGATTTACTCAAAAAGAATGAATCGATTACAATGAGACCTTTTCTCCTGTATCAAAGAAAGATTCACTTCGGGTCATTCTGGCATTAGTTGCACATTTCAATCTTGAGTTGCAACAAATGGATGTGAAAACCGCTTTCCTAAATGGTGATTTAGAAGAGGAGGTTTATATGAAACAACCTGAAGGTTTCTCTTCTAGGGGTGGTGAGCATTTAGTATGTAAGCTTAAGAAATCCATATACGGTTTAAAACAAGCCTCCCGTCAATGGTATATAAAGTTTGATGGGGTAATTTCTTCATTTGGTTTTGTTGAAAATCCCTCAGATAATTGTATATACCAAAAGGTGAGTGGGAGTAAAATTTGCTTTCTTGTTTTATATGTGGATGACATCTTACTTGCCACCAATGATAAGGGGATGCTTCGTGATGTGAAACAATTTCTTTCTAAGAACTTTGATATGAAGGATATGGGTGATGCCTCTTATGTTATTGGCATTAAAATTCAGAGAGATAGGTCCCGGGGTATACTGGGTTTATCTCAAGAAACCTATATAAACAAAGTTTTAGAGAGATTTCATATGCGAAATTGTTCACCAAACGCTGCTCCCATATCTAAGGGGGATAAATTCAGTTTGGACCAATGTCCAGAAAATGACTTGGAGAAAGAATCCATGGAGAACACCCCTTGTTGGATGTCTTGGATATATTCAAGTCTGTACAAGGCCGAACATTGCTCTTGCGGTTGGAATGCTTGGGCGTTACCAACACAATTTGGGGTTAGACTATTGGAGAGCTGTAAAGAGGGTTCTAAGGTATCTAAGATGAACCAAAGGTTACAAGCTTGGGTTTAGGCAGACGGATAATTTAGATGTTGTCAGTTATTCAGAGGCGGACTTCGCTGGCTGTGTTGATTCTTGAAAATCAACTTCAGGGTGTGTCTTTATTATGGCTAGTGGGGCTATCTCATGGAGAAGTATTAAACAGTCCTTAATAGCTACTTCTACCATGGAAGCCGAGTTCGTTTCCAATTTCGAGGCAACTTCACAGGGTGTTTGGCTAAAGAATTTTATCTCTGGGCTTAGAATTAAGTACATCGACATCAAGTTCTTAGCAATTAGAGAGCGTGTCAAAAAAATAAAGTTGTATTCTTTGAACACATTCATACTGAGTTGGTGTTAGCAGATCCCTTGACTAAATGCATGCCTTCAGTTAAATTCAAGGATCTGGTTCAGAAAATGGGACTTTTTCCCACTATGGAATTTGTATATACATTAAGTTTCAATAAAATTCTTTGGCATTCAGACATTTTCTCAATTAAGTGTGTGCACCTTCATTTGCTTCATATTGATGAGAAAATGCACTTCAGGGACTTGGAATAAACATAGGGTTTATTTCGTTGGGTTTTGTTTCCTAATTAAGTGCTCAATGGCAATATGCATTTGATCATAATGGATACTACTCGTGCTAATGAGAACATATCATTATGGTTGGTGTTTTTCTGTTGTTGAGTGGTAGTGCTTGCACCAAGTGGGAGAATGTAACGTTTATCCGTTACTATTATTATAATATTAGGATAAGTTATGATAATATTCAGTGTTTGATATGTGGTGCAACACTAATAACCTAATAGCTAGACTACCATTATGATTAGGAGTTTGGTTAGGGTTTAGGAGACCTAAAGACAATCAACCACAATGATGGTCAGTGGTTATATAAGGTCACTAGTCCTCTCACTGCTCACATTACATACCTCATACACCATCTAGAGAGAGCTGAGTAAAGTGAGAGACAAAATACTCGTTATCTCTGCAGCAGTCCAGATCGCTCAACCGTAACAAGAACTATGGCTGGAGGTTAGTCGATCCTATTATCACATATTATATGATGCATGTGATATTTTAGTCTAACACTTTATTCTCCGCATTCACGCTTTCTGCCCGGTTGGGAATGGTTCTTGGTTGGTGATGGTTACCTGGGAAATAAAGCAACACCAAAGCCCGTAATGGCTGCTCGGGGAGCCGATCAACTTGCTGGTCGGAGGTCACAAGGCTGACTGGTGAATCAAAATGAAACTGTCGGTGCTACTGCTATCGCGATAGCCGGGGCGCTCGGAAATACATGAATAGTGGAATCGGCGCAGACTGGTCGGCATTCTCTGCATGGTTTTAATATCCTCGACAAAATGCTGATCGGTGCGGAACTCTCAATCAGCAGATTTGACTGGCTCTCCGCACTGCTGGGTATGCAATTATGATATTCCGAAAACAATGCTCGTTATTCGGACTTGGTACTCTGCTTGGTGAATTCTCTGAATTTACAATCGCCTCGGTTATGATGACATTCATCTATGCATTAAACTTCATCTGAACTTGATCGGGAAGCGATAAGAAGCCCGCGCATCCGATGACAAAACTCACGACCCTGACTTGAACTGCGCGGAACCGACTGGCGGAACCGGACAACAAAGATTCGATGACCTGACCAGCTGATTGCTCTACTGGTAACTCAGGAAGATGACATGTGATAAGCCTCATAATTTGTTTGATACCCGTACGGTATTCCAGTTGTCTATCTGGCGATCGACAACTCTCATTCTTGCCTATGATAGTGCTCTGTTTCATCGAATATGCTTGATGCGCACACTCGGATTCACCGGCCTGTTCGAAGAAGACCGGTAACGGAACCTTTGTTCCTGGGGGCCGGTGGTCGCTCGGAAGAAAATATGATGATCATTCCTCATACACTAAAGTTCTAATCTTTTCAGCAAGCTAAACCCGACTGGACTGGGAGGTCCATAGCACGGCCGATCAGCCCTGAGAAAGAATGAGGCTAACGACCGCTCCGCCATGGTATGCTCGGGAGAACATGAATAACAAGACTATCCACAGTGCCGAGGCACGCAGTTCTGGAGTTCAGGAACGATCAAACACTGGAGGTTGTTGTAGCTTTGGCTATAAATCCCCGAGATATGAGATCTTCATGCATGTAATATACTTATTTTGGATGGATGCACGTTGCTTTGATCGGAACCACCATTATGAACGACAATCGTCCTCCAAGCTAACCTAAGCGCCTATTGCTCTTTAAAGTTTATGCCCGATCATGGGTCGACCGGGAAAGTGAAGGTATGAGGCCGGGAAAGCGGGGTCTCTGTTAGTAGTCCCGTCCAATCACCTACTCGGGATGTAAGCACATAATTCCATGTTGTAACAATAAATACGTGGCTATGAATTAAAGAGTTAGATCACCAACCTCCAGCCACAGCTTTAGAAATTGTTTGCCTGGGACGCGTGGGTCACGAACGGAAGTTCCTCGGGCTGCTGTAAATCACCGTAGATTTTGGTTGTGTTTCTCTCACTTCTTTCAATGACTTTTAGATGGTGTATGATACGTCAACTGAGCAGTGAGAGGACTTGGGAGTCTAAATAACCTACATCCCATCAATGTAGGTAACTAATTACCTAATGCTGACTAAGTTCTAATACTTAGTCAGCCTATTGATTTGCACCACTTATTCAATATTATTATTGTTATAATAATAATAATAATAATAATAATAATAATAATAATAATAATAATAATAATAATAATAATATTAAGGGAAAACGTTACATTCTCCCACTTGGTGCAAATACGGAACCCAAGAACAAGATTTACACCAACCATAATGACATGTCCTCTTTAGCGCAAGTAATATCCATTATGATCAAATGCAAACTGTCCTTGAGTCCTTTAGGTAATCAAACTTAATGAAACAAACCATATGTTCATTTCAAGTCCACTGAAGTATATTTTCTTATTGAGATAAACTGAATTGTGTACACACTCAAAGAAAATATCTGAAGTAGCTGAAGAAAAACTTAATTGCAAAAGAATTTCATTATTAAACTGAATGTATATACAAAATTACAAAGTGGACGAAATTCCCATTTTCTGAATCAGATCCTTGAATTTAGACGGAGGCATGCCTTTAGTCAAGGGATCTGCTAGCATCAACTCAGTATTAATGTGTTCAATGAATACAACTTTATTCTTGACACACTCCCTAATGGCTAAGAACTTGATGTCGATGTGTTTACTTCGACTCCCACATTTTTCGTTCTTAGTTAGGAAGACTCCAGCTAAGTTGTCACAGTAAACTTTCAATGGCTTAGATATAGAATCCATAATTCTAAGCCCGGAGATGAAATTCTTGAGCCACACATCTCGCGAAGTAGCCTCGAAACAGGACATGAACTCGGCTTCCATGGTAGAAGTAGTTATTAAGGATTGTTTAACACTTCTCCATGAAATTGCCCCACCAGGCAATATGAAGACGTACCCGGAAGTTGATCTACGAGAATCAACACAGCTAGCGAAGTCCGCATCATAATAACCAACAACATCCAGGATGTCCGTCTTCCTAAAACCCAACTTGAAATCTTTAGTACCTTTGAGATACCTCAGAACTCTCTTCACAGCTCCCCAGTGGTCTAAGCCTGGATTATGTAAGTACCGCCTTAACATACCAACGACAAAGGCAATGTCGGGCCTTGTACAAACTTGAATATAGCCAAGACATCCAACCGCTTCAGCATATGGAATATCCTTCATACGCTCCTCCTCCAAGTCGTTCTTAGGACATTGGTCCAAACTAAACTTATCCCCTTTTGCAATGGGAGCAACATTCGGTAAACAGTTTTTCATCCGAAACCTTTCCAAAACTTTGTTAATATAGGTTTCCTGCGATAGACCCCGTATGCCCCGGGACCTATCCCTATGAATCTTTATGCCAATGACATAAGATGCTTCACCCATATCTTTCATATCAAAGTTTTTGGAAAGGAACTGTTTCACGTCACGAAGCATCCCCACCTCATTAGTGGCGAGTAGGATATCATCCACATATAAAACAAGGTAACAGATTTTACTCCCACTAACTTTCTGGTATATACAAGGATCTAAGGGACTTTCAACAAAACCAAATGATGAAATGACCCCGTCAAACTTAATATACCACTGACGGGAGGCTTGTTTTAAACCGTATATGGACTTCCTAAGCCTACACACCAAATCCTCACCACCTCTAGAAGAGAAACCTTCAGGTTGTTTCATATAAACTTCATCTTCTAGATCACCATTTAGAAACGCGGTTTTCACATCCATTTGTTGCAACTCAAGATTAAAGTGTGCAACTAAAGCCAGAATGATTCGAAGAGAATCTTTCTTTGATACAGGAGAAAAGGTCTCCTTGTAATCAATTCCTTCTTTTTGAGTAAATCCCTTAGCAACGAGTCTGGCCTTGTACCTCTCAATGTTACCTAATGAGTCTCTTTTGGTTTTAAATACCCATTTACAGCCAATCGGCTTGGCCCCATTAGGTAACTCAACAAGGTTCCAAACTCCATTACTCTTCATGGAATTCATTTCATCTTTCATGGCTTCTAACCACAAATCGGACTGTGCACAATTCGTAGCTTGTGAAAACGTTATGGGATCATTTTCAGCTCCAATGTCAGATTCTTGTAGATACGGTGCATAATAGCTAGGAACTGCTGAACACCTTACCCGAGTAGACCGTCTTAATGTTGGAACACCAGTACCTTGTGAAGGTTGTGGCGCAACTACCTCTTCAGGAACTGGATGTAGTTCTTGAATATGTTCAATTTCAATCTGTGTGGGTTCAGGATCTTGCTGAAAATCCTGAATTGGTTCAACCATTGGCTCAAAGTCTAATTTAGGAGGTTGCTGTAAGTCCTGAACTTGTTCTTCCAATGGTTGAGTTTCAACAGCTTGTGGAATCTCAACAATGGGTTGCACAATCGCAGGCGTGACTGAAGGCAGCCTGTGGCGTCACCACCGGGAGTAACCCAGTTCCGCCACCACCACCGTCCTCTACGGACAGTCAGCCGGTGCCACCAGGACACCGTCCATCACTGGCGAACACAATCTGGCGAAGACGTCCATTACCGGCGAACAAATTCCGGCGAACAAACACGGTAAGAACAATAGCAGTCCAGACGGGAAAAGAAAAAAACCAATTGTAAATTTTTTTTATTTTTTATTTTAAAAAATTCTAAATGCGGAAAAGATCCAGCCATAGCTTTAGAAATTGTTTGCCTGGGACGCGTGGGTCACGAACGGAAGTTCCTCGGGCTGCTGTAAATCACCGCAGATTTTGGTTGTGTTTCTCTCCCTTCTCTCAGTGACTTTTAGATGGTGTATGATACGTCAACTGAGCAGTGAGAGGACTTGGAAGTCTAAATAACCTACATCCCTTCAATGTAGGTAACTAATTACCTAATGCTGACTAAGTTCTAATACTTAGTCAGCCTATTGATTTGCACCACTTATTCAATATTATTATTGTTATAATAATAATAATAATAATAATAATAATAATAATAATAATAATAATAATAATAAGGGAAAAGTTACACGGGAAGCATACATTACTGAACGATCGAGAAGTTTGTGCTGAGGCCGGAGGCTATCTAGCAGTGCATTATTTTCTTTCCCTTTTGATCTTTCCTTTTTCGCTTCTCCTTTTCCACTAACTCGATCCTCACGCCACTCTTGCATGCAAAGTCTGAATTTTATTTTATTTGTTTCCTAAAGTTCACCGCCACATGCAACCAATCAAAAGAATACGATAATTATATTAACTTTTATTTTTCTTTTACTCTGCCACTATCTCTTGCTCTTCTCTTTATGTTGCCATATCCCCTCTGTTCTTATCTTTATGCTGCCATATCCCCTCTGTTCCCCCTTTAACTTGTGTGTTCTTCATGAAAGCAGGAAGAAACACAACAAGAAATGACGCGGAGGACCTGGTGCTGGCTCCGGCTCTGCATGGTGGGTAGAGCCTCACTGAAGACGAACAAATGGAATACGGTGATGGTAGCGATGAGATGATCCACATGATGAAGATGAGGCCGCTGAAAAGGAAAATACTCTCTGCCCAACTCGAACAACAAAGATCCATATGATGAATCAAGATGGCTTCTACTTCACTGGTTTCGTTGATTGCTCTGTCGGTGAAGCGGCAACAGCAAACCCGCGTGAGTCTGATTCAAGAAACTTGAAGGATCACAGAAATGGTGCGAAACAAGTGGGCAGTGACCCCGAAGGCAGTGGTGAAGAGAACTTGCGGATGGTGTCGTGGCCTGAGACTCTTGCCGGCGGCGAGCTTCTAGAGTTGCGATGGAAGGGACGGTGGTTGCATGCGGCTATGTGACTGCAGTATCTTCTTCGAATAAGAAACTGATGCCCAGGATCCCTGTAAACATCAAGATGAATAAGATGCGAAAGGTGAACCAACAAGTGAGGCGGTCCAGTGGTCGGGATCCTTTCTTGGCAGTGGGAATGCCTGGGTTCGAACCTTAAACCAACTTTGCCCGATCCCTTTGTTACAATGGTAGGAATATAGCTTTTTGCCACGGCGCCAAAATGATAGTACTAATTCTCGGTGTACTCGTAGTGTATATTGTATGTATGTAATGTACTAACAATATACTAGAGATAGAGCAAATGTGCTTCTTTTATTAATGTTTTTGTATCTTTTGTAGAGAGAACGGAGAACAAGGAGCCTATTGTAGAGAGGGAGAGAGTGGAGAGTGAAAAGAAGGACCCCCACTATGAGGGCTAAGGGCCCTTTTATAGGTCACAAGAAGATGGCGGGTTTGACCCGTCATCTTTGACCATGATCCGCTGACTATGACTACGACGCGAACCGTTTGATCCCGATCCAAATAGGAGTACGGAACATACGGAGAGTCTGAACTCAATGTATATTCCCCATCAGAGGTTAATTCAACAATAGTGATGTATTTAATTTATTGGACATATTTATAGGAAAGCAAATACGAATCTGTACACAGAATGACATCTTTATTTAGTTATTTTTCCCAGTCTGGCTGAATGAATTCAAGTGATAAATGTGGTTGGAGACTTGGAGTACAGTGGCTCGCTCAAGATTTATATTATCTTGTCTAACTTTGTTTTCTCTATTGAACTATATATATATATATATATATATATATATATATATATATATGTATATATAAAACAATGTGTTTTTATGTAAGTCAAACATGCTTAACCACATAATTTTTAGACTATTTGGTTGTCCCATCTTACTTAAAACCAATTTGTGATAAGTAGGTAGACATTAACCATTTAACGACATTCGTCCTTTGTATGTCATAGTACCACGTTTTGAATCGAGCATGGGCGGAACTCGGCCAACCCGGCCGACGCTCAACATTATCCCAAACTCATTTCCTCTTTCTTTACGAGAGGAATGGTTGGGGATTGGAAGAATCTTCTCGCTCCACAGATGCAACAGCGCATTGATGAAATTACAGAGCAAAAACTACATGGTTCTGGTTTCAGCTTTCGATAGCTTCCATCTCAAGCATGACCACTGATGGATTATATTAACCCGGGGGTCCGAATTAATTAACCCGATTAAATGAACGAATTATGACAAGTATAGGATTAAATCAATGTAGATGATGATGTAACGAAATAAAGGGACGAAGTGTGTATGAATATAAGTCACAAGGACAAATAATGTATTAATTGCGTATGAAATGCTATTACAAAGATTCGGATAATGTAATAACAAGACAAATTATGAATTAGGACTGATTGTGTAGTAATGAGATAGAGCTATGGATAATGGATCAGAGAGGTCTAAACAAGACACAAATGAGTGTCTTTATACTCCAATCCGTAGTGAATCAACTGACCTAGGATTTGGAGCACCACGTCGCATACTGTCTCATCCTTTCCTCATTGGCCTCAAACTCGCCGGTCACTTAGCGGACCACAAGTCTGGAGTCGCATTGCACCCTTTACATAACCATTTAACGACATTCCTCATTTGTAAGTCATAGTATCACGTTTCGAATCGAGCATGGGCTGAACTCGGCCAACCTGGCCTACGCTCAACATTATCCCAAACTCATTTCCTCTTTCTTTATGAGAGGAATGGTTGGGGATTGGAAGAATCTTCTCGCTCCACAGATGCAACGACACATTGATGAAATTACAGAGCAAAAACTCCATGGTTCTGTTTTCAGCTTTCGATAACTTCCATCTCAAACTTGGCCACTGATGGATTATATTAACCCAGTGGTCGCCTTCTCTACGGAGAAGGAGACAAAGCTCGATGTTTGACTAGTAATCGGATTATATTGTTCTAAGCGAAAGGATCTTGGGATTTGGGGAAATGTTTGGCGAGCTCGGAAGTGTCCTAGGCGACGACAGTCTGGACTTTCATCGGAGCTTCTTTAAGCATTTTCGCAAACACTTCGCATACGCTGATGTGGAGCATTTGTTTGACGGTCTCGGGGTCGTGGCCGAGGGGAACCAGGGAGGCGGCGGTGTCGGAGCAGTCGTCGAGGGATCAGGTGTAGGGAATCACATTAATCTGTTCCCATAGAAATAGCTAGCCTCGTCGGCGCCTTTGTCACCTGGTTCGCCAATTGAATCGGCTTCGCGAGGATCTACTTCACTTTATTTCACCGGAATCTTGCTAGCATGTTTCCAGAAACCTAATGACCTGTGATAGCAGGTCATTTACCGGTTTTTGGGCTTCATTGCATCAAAATAAAATGTTGATGGGTGTAATTGCACCTTTTAAAAGTTTAGGGGGCTAATTGACTTTTCAATTAAAGTTCGAGAGCCTATTTGACACTTTTCCCTTTTGCAGACCTTCTTATGATTGATGTCTTATTTGACTCTTTGAGTCTGTAACTTTAAAACAATTGTCCTTTGGAAAGGACTTTATCTTATCTGCGCAACCACTTGTTTTATTAAGTTTTTCTTTTGGTTGTTTAAATGTATTGATCTATTTAGAGTTGTTTTTGCTAAATAATCTAAACGAGGAGTTTGTTAGTGTTTAGTATTGTAAACTTTAGCTTGTAATTGACAGAATTATTATAGTAAAATAGATAGGTTAGGCTTTAGTGTAAATTATGATGCTGATTGAAGATCTGGCAGATCAGACACTAGAGCCGTTGGAACTACACCGACTTATCTACTACAGCTAGAAGAGCTGTTACGTAGTCTGATGTTATTTTACATGAAATATTCTTATATGGTTAAAAGACCTCAAGGGTAAGACAATAATTCATGATAAATGGAATATCTTGGAAATTACTTGTTAAGAGTATTATATATGCTAGTTAGAAAGAAACTTCAATAGGGTTGACAAGAAAGAATTACAAGAGAAAAATGGTTCAAAAAACTATGTCTATGTTTTACAAGGAGAATACTTTGATGATAATAGTCACCCATTGTTCAACGCCGTTCCTCACGATTGTGTCCCTTTCTTAGAGGATTAACTGGATTAACCAACTGATGAAAAGGACTGACAGATTCAGCGATGAAGTCAGTCAGTAATAACAGATCATAGAGATGTTTAAAGAAAGAGATAACAGCACAAAGCAAAACACACGATGTTTACCCAGTTCGATACAGTGTGTATCTACGTCTGGGGGACGATCACATAAGCGTCCAATCCACTAAATCATAATCCAATGTATAAAGGTAGAGAAACAATAATCTCACCCAAGTGCCCCACACAAGGTACGTACCCAGTCTACACAGGTTTAGTGGATTGTTGAAGGTGGAGAGTCATGCATACAGAAGTCCAATGAAATCCCTTCACTTGGAGAGCCAGCTCTGATGCAGTCCACTTCAATGACGCTTTTTACAGTTGTTCCCACAACAGTGTGATCACAGTGTCCTTTCGTTTAAGCAGCAGTGGTTCTTCTCAAGTTCTTCATCTTAATCACCATGAACATGTTGTTTTGAGAAGAGGCATAGGAATCAAAGAGCTGATCTCACAAAACTGATAAGGAGTGTTTCTTCTCTCTTGAAAGCGTAACTATAATTCTCTTCGAATGAGGATACTTATAGTTCCGTCGATAGAACACTCCTTCCATAGATGTCTTTGATTGTAGATGGTAGGACAATATTTGAAGAATGTAATCTTAAAGATTCGGTCCATACCTTTCCAAAGCAGATACGCTGATCTAATCTCCAAATCTGTCTTCTGTAAAACCGCGTACAGCTTTTAAGTAAACAACTTCTTAAAGCAGATCTTCAGTGTCAGTCGTTCTGTTGTTGCTTCTGATTGATCAGTCCACCGAATGAGTCCCTCAGGCGGTGTGTAGGGCTATGATCAGCTACGACCCACCGACTGAGCTCGTCAAGTGGTGTGTAGGGTCGCAGTCCCCAAAAGAGGATCACAGTCCACAGACTGAACGCGTCAGCGGTGTGTAGGGCTATGATTCGCCGTTGAAACTATCGACGGTCTATACAATTGGCTGCGGTCAATTCCTTTATGCTGCGGTATGAGGTAGGGTGCTGCGGGGCCGTGTTAGCGCTATATGCGCTAACCCTCATGTTTGGGGCATGCGATTGGTCCCGTGGCGCCACCAAAGTGTGCTTGTGTGACAAGGATATTGATCGAATGATGATGTGAATGATTTGAAAGTGAACTATGACCTTAGATGTGTGTATTTATGATGTTGCCTCTATAAATTGATTATCGTTGTTTAATGTGTTTATGTAACACCCCGTGTTACGGCCTTCAATCCCGGATTAATTATTAAATTAATCCCGTTAATAATAATTAAATATGATTTAATTCGGTTAGGTTTCCTTTAATTAATTAATAAAGGTCCACCATGAACCATGGACCCTTATCCCTAAACCCAATCCTTAGTTCCAAAAGGAATAGAATTAGCAAGCCTATAATATTAGTTCCTAATTAGGACTCCTAAATATATAAATAAGGGACTTAGGAGACACCTAGAACTGCCCACACGCCTAGACGCCCCATCACCCCAGGAGAGCTCCTAGAATTCCCTTAGAAGAAATCAAGAAAGCAAGAAAGCTTAAAGAAAGATCCTTCATAGCCAAGGAATTAATTAAGGCTAAGAGGTAACCCATGTCTCAACAAAACCTATTTTCATAGCTATGATTTCCCCTTAGGGTTTCCCCCATGTTATTGTGAATGGCGAAATTATGGTGATTATTATTGATGTCGATTTGATGATTCCATGGGGAATCTTGATAATCTTGATAATTGGGAGTTTCTTGATAATGATGATATTCTTGATGATTATGTGTGGTTCTTGATGATTAATTGGCATCCTTGATGTTTGTGTGTTATCCTTACCGAATCTTGCAATTAGAAGATGAATCGTATTCTTGTTGATATAAAAGTAATTAGAACCCTAGGTTGTATCGTATGATCTTATTCTTGGATTATCGGGTGGGGAAATCGCATGTTTGGGTGTTGAGTATATTTAGAAAAGCATGATAGGTTATGTGTCGTCCGTTTCTCGTAATTGATCCGTTAATTGTCTACGTGTTGTCGTTAATTGCGTTGTAAAGTGTCTAAGCATGGTTTCGGGTTCCACAACGGTTCCCGGGACGTATGTGATGAAAAAGAGTCAGTGGGGGGTAGGTGGGGGGTAGGGGACCCGCCACCTACCCGGCGCCGTGAACCATCGCCTGGCAGCGGGTGGCCGGCGGGCGGGCAGCTGCCCGCCGGCGACCCGCTGCCCGTAACAGTGACTCCGGCGGGTGGCCCACCACCCACCGGCTACCCGCTGGAATTTGTTCCCACCCGGGACCCCGGCTTCCCCGTTTGATGTTTCCCCGATCCCCGTGGTGTCCCAACGGACCCCGTTTTTCGTGCCTATGTCTAGTTTGATATTTCGGGTACCGTTCGTAGGTTTATGAGTCTATTATATTGCATGCTAGTTGAATTGGTATCCCGTTGACCTAGGTGGAAGAAGTATGAACCCCTTAGGATTACTCTTAGTAAGTGATGGATCACGCATAGGTTTTGTTATACGTTTTATCCCCTTTCCCAAGGTGTAATGTGGGTTGCATGTGCTTGCTATGTGTTATGTGTGCGTGTTACCCCAATTCGGTTGCGATCGGATTGGGTATCCTGAGCTGCGGTTCAGAAGCCGGCTATGGTCAGATGGGAATTCCTGGCTGTAGTCGGATGACGGTATCCTGGGCTGCGGTCCAGAAGCTGGTTGTAGTTAGATGGGAATTCCTGGCTGCAATCAGGTGACATCTTTCCTGAGCTGCGGTTCAGAGGCTGGCTGTAGTCAGATGGGAATTCCTGGCAACAGTCAGATAACACACTCTCTTGGGCTGCGGTCCACTGTTTGGTTGCGATCAAACATTATGATGAGCTGCGGTTCATCGGTCGGTTGCGATCGACCCCTCCGTGTTGCGATACGGGGCAGGGTGCTGCGGGGCCGTGTCAGAGCTATATGCGCTGACCCTCATGTATGGGCATGCGATTGGTCCTGTGGCGCCAACAAAGTGTGTTATGTGTTGTGATACGGATGAGTGGTGATTATGAGTGTCTTGGGGGATGTGACTATGGGATTTATATTGGGGATTGTTCATGTCGGGTTATGATTATTGTTATGCTTTGCCTTATCTGTTGTGAACTGCATATGCTCGTTATAACTGCTGCTTGTGTCTGGCCTTATCTGTCGAGTCATTCCCGGTTTTAAAACTAGAGTTCGTAGGTTATATTCTCATGCTCAAAATGGTTTTCGTATATATATATATATATATTGCTATATGTATTGTATTTCAACGCGTTGGAGTGGGTTACTAGCATCTCTCGCTGAACAGATATATTTGGCTTTCAGGCACAGAAGATTAAGTCACTGGAGTGCGCTAGAACTTAGAAGTAGACAGTTTCCCTTTTGGCCTGCGTGCCACGTTTACGTACTTACGCTTTGAGGATATTAGTTAGTTAGCCTGTGCACTTGGGTTCTCTAGCCCAGGTGTGGCATAGCACCCCGAAACGCTTGTATTTATATCTTGGGATTTAATAAGATTCTACCTTTATTATAAGTTTTAAATGTCTTGAAAATCTGGGGTGTTACAATTTATCCCTATCTGTCGAGTATAATCCTGGTTTTAAAGTTAGAGTCTCCTAAGTATATATCTTACTACTTCAAAATGGTTTTACTGTATCTATGTATATATATTTACCTATATTGTATTTTAACGCGTTAGAGTGGGTTACCAGCATCATTCGCTGAACAGATATATTTGGCTTTCAGGCACAGATGATTAGCTCCTGAAGCGCGCTAGAAGAACTCGGATTAGATAGTTAGTCTTTCCTTTCGGCCTGCGTGCCTTGATGATGTAATGACAATATTTGAGGATAGTTAGTTAGAACAGCCTGTGCATCTGAGCTCTCCAGCTCAGATGTGGCATAACACCCCCGACTCTATGTTAGAATGCTTCATTTGATATCTACTTAATAGAATTGCTTTCGTATTATGAGATCCAAAAGTTTTAAAATTTTCGGGGTGTTACAGAAAGAGAGTCAACAGAGACTCATGAAAGAGAGTCAATAGAGACTCAAATATGAGAGTCAATAAAGACTCGAGAGAAAGAAAGAGAGTCAAGAGCGACTCGAGAAAGTAACAAAGAAACCTCCACAGAAAGTACTCTAATTTATAAATGAGTGTACGAGTATATAATTGCACGAGATTGCATATGAGTATGATTATATTGTTGCACTAGATTGCATAAGAGTACAGGGACGGAGCCAAAGGGGGGTTAGCTGTCCCCTCTCACCCCACCCTACCCCATATATACTCTTTGTATGTATATGTGTATATATAGTATAGGTTTTAGTATTAATATAAAAAAACTAGCAAATGCCAACAAGTAATGAGTTAGCTAGATTAGTTGGTAAGGCATGTGCTTTTTAATAGGAAAGGTCTTGGGTTCAAATCCTTGCATTAACATAGTATTACATATTTTTGAGTATGATTATATAATTGCACGAGATTGCATATGAGTATGATTATATTGTTGCACTAGATTGCATAAGAGTATGATTATATTATTGCACTAGATTGCATAAGAGCATGATTATATTATTGCACGAGATTGCATACGAGTATGAGTATATGGTTGCACTAGATTGCATATAAGTATGAGTATATTGTTCCACTAGATTGCATAAGAGTATGATCATATAATTGCACTAGATTGCATATGAGTATTTGTATATTGTTGTACTAGATTGCATAAGAGTATGATTATATAATTGCACGAGATTGCATATGCCTATGAGTATATTGTTGCACTAGATTGCATAAGAGTATGAATGTATGATTATATATTTGCACGAGATTGCATATGAGTATGAGTATATTGTTGCACTAGATTGCATAAGAGTATGATTATATAATTGCACGAGATTGCATATGGGTATGAGTATATTGTTGCACTATATTGCATAAGAGTATGATTATATAATTGCACGAGATTGCATATGAGTATGAGTATATTGTTGCACTAGATTGCATAAGATTATGATTATATAATTGCACGAGATTGCATATGAGTATGAGTATATTGTTGAACTAGATTGCATAAGAGTATGAATATATAATTGCACGAGATTGCATATGAGTATGAATATGTTGTTGCACTAGATTTCATAAGAAGTATGATCATAATGTTATACATGATTGTATGCGAATAGAGCATCGTAAGAGATTGTTTAATGAGAAGTTTAACTTAAGATATTCCTTTGAGCATGATTATCGTGTTGTAGTAGAAACTCTACTTATTAAGTTATGTAATAAGGGTGTGAAAGCATGTAAATACCTGTTGTATGGTCCTTTAACTTGATTCAATCCGTAAGCATAAGTTGTTTGTTGAGTTATTTGAGAAGTCTATATGTTGATGAATATACGTGATCAGTCATATACATATATAAGCATGCCAGCTGATATTATAGGGCGCAAGCATCTAGAAAGAATATGATAATCTAAAGATGATTTGAGATTAGCTTATTGCTATAAAGGCATCAAATGTTTTCAAAGTGTATGCTGGAATGCTTTACAGGGTTGAGTGTGGTTATACTTAGCTTCATGCTAATAGGTGTTCTTCCTGTTTGTCTATGTGTTGCTTGCAAAACCCCTTTCAGGTGGGCCCAGCAGTGAGAAGAGATCGAGTTAGAGTAGTCTCTTAGTTTGAGATGTCTAAACTCTAGTTTTAATTATGATCATGTTATGGATTTAGACTTATGACTTTATGTTTGAGGATTGATGTAGACTGTGTTGGGGTGACATTTTCCCCCCTTACTTTTCCAGTATTTATATTTAGTTTCCAAACTTAATCTTATTTCCAGTTTTACCCCCTTTAGCCTGTGCAATCTCCAAAGAGTGGTGGTTGTGGCGGTGACACTCCCACTAATTAACTTCTAGTTTTTCGCTGCCTAGTCATGTTAATGACTGATTAGAGATGTAATTAAGAGTTAGAAAAGTGGGGTGTTACAGCTCTGGGGATTGGAAGATGGGCTTCACATATAACATTGGCAATTGCTCTCCATTAGAAGCTGAGGCCTGAGCTCTTTTGAAGGGTATCCAGCTTGCAACATCAATGGGAACCAGAAGGGCAGTATTCGAAAGTGATGCAAAGGAAGTCATAAGGTACATGAATGGAGATGATAGACCAAGGATAGCGGCTCATAATATTCTAGAAGCATGTAAAAAAGTGTTACGGAGCATGGAGGTTTAGCAGGTCGAATCAATTGTTCGTGAGCAAAACCAAGTAGCGAATGCCCTTGCTAAGACCTCTGCCCACCTCCCGTTTGGTCTGCACATCCTTTGGAAACCACCTGAGGAAATATTAGGACTAATTGATGATGACAAATCTGGTGTGTCTAGATGGCGTGAGACTCTTAGCCGTAGATAATATGTTGTAGTCTCTTTGGGTTTCCCCCTTCCTTTTTATATTAAAAAAAAAAAAGTAACACCATGTAATTTTAATCTAAATTATTAATAACTTATTCTTTTTCATTTTTTTTTTTGCAAAATTTTCCTTATATTCATATTCATTAGATTATTAGTAAAATAACGCGAACATTATATTTTCTCAAATTACGTATTCATTTCCATTTCTCCTTCTTTACTGCTAACCAACCTAACCTTATTATTATTAAGTGTTCGGGTGGAAAGTTAAAAAGGATGGTTTTGTATTTAATAATAGTATAGATATAGATTATTAATAACGTAACTGATTCTTTTTCATTTTTTTGGCAAAATATTTATTATATTTATTAGATTAATATTAAAATAACGACTTGTAATTTTAATCTAAATTATAAATAACCGATTCTTTTCTTTTCTTTTTTTTTTTCTTGCAAAATATTCCTTATAATGGCTTCTCGAATTACAGATTCTTTTATATATTTTTTTTAATACAAATAAGAATTTTAATGTAGAATTGTAGTACGAATAAGAAAGTAGGAAACAATAATATATTCTATTAGGAATTGTATTACACTATTTTACAATATTACGCAAACTTTAACAGGGCGTTTGGTTGGAGGGGGGAATTATGTGGGAAAGGAATTGTAATTCCATGGGAGTTGAATTACTGGGAATAAAGTGGGAATTTAAATTCCAGTGTTTGGTTGACAGGAATAGAATTACTGGTAATTTCAATTCCAATGTTTGGTATACATGGGAATTGAAAGGGAATAAGTAGTATAAAGTCAAAAATGTCCATTATTGTTGTTAGACATTAATTTTAGGTTAAAAAAGGAAGGGGTAATTTTGACTCGTCACTATCTTTTTTTTCCAGGAATTAAAATACCGGGTGGGAGGGGGGGTGGGGGGGGGGGGGCATGTGATTTTAATTCCATGAAAATGGGGGGAATTTCTAATTTCTATTCCCATGTAATGTTGTCCTTAATTTCTAATTTGGACACATTTGGTCCCTCAATTATTCGACCCGTAGTCGTTTTGGTCCTTCCGTGAGTTTGTAATTCTAACACCGTTTAAAGCATGGGTATACATGTAATTTCACATTTCATTTACTCGGCCAACTGTCTTTCCACCCTTCCTCCGCCAAGTCTCGCATTTCCGCCACCACTCCTCAACCCTAACCTTCGAATTGAAGTTGCCATTGACAGCTTTCTACCTCTTCGAATAGAAGACGCTATTGAAGATAATGTCTTCAAGCACTGTGGGTTCAACACAATGGATGGCAGAAGTGCGATGTTGGTGCGGCAAATTGGCTCCGGTCAAGATGTCGTGGAGTACTACGAATCCAGGGAAGAGATATAGAGCTTGTCCACATTATGGAGTAAGTATACAAAACCATTTTACTTGAATACCAACTCTTACAAACACAGAGTTCATTTGTTTTTGTTTGTTACACTCATTTCAGGGTAATGGCAGCTGTAGGTATTTTGAATGGATTGACTCCGATGTCTCAGAGCGTGTTTCCAGAATTATTAGAGTGCTATTGAAAAGATTGGATAAGAAGGAGAGTGAAATCCAAAGGCTAGAAATCATAATTGAAAAAGAAAATGGTGTGATTATGAAGATGAAGTTGGAGTCTATGTTTCACTTTTTCTATGGGTTTGCATTTGGAATTGCAGTTGCCCTTATTTGTATGAGACTTGGGATGAAAACTGGTGAACCAAGTCCAAAGCTTTTCCAGCTCCATTAGGATTTAGAAATTAGTGGTAGTATCAACTATGTAAGCATTGTTTATGTATGGAAGTATATTTTTGTATGGAAGGTAAACTTTGTTTACTTGAATGGCATGCTGCCAAGTAAGATAGATCCTAACTTTGTTTACACTACAAGAAAAATGCACATAGACAACACTAGAAAGACAACAGTTTTTAAGAAAAGTGTTGTCTTTTGTATAAAAGACAACAGTTTGGTCCAAAACCGTTTTCTTTGATGCAACACTTTTGTCAAAGACAACGGTTTTTACTTAACCGTTGTTGTAAGTGTGTTGTCTTTGTGCATTTTGTGAAAAGACAACACCACAACGACAACGGTTTTTTAAAACCGTTGTCTATGTGCGTTTTTTTTTAAAAAGACAACGGTTTTTTTAACCGTTGTCATTGGTGTGTTGTCTTTAAGCGCACTGGAATACACAACACTAGAAAGACAACGGTTGTTTAAAACCGTTGTCTTTGTGCGCTCTTTTTTTTAAAAAAAAACAATGATTTTATTTAACCGTTGTCGTTGATGTGTTGTCTTTAAGCGCACTCGAATACACAACACTACAAAGAACGGTTTTTAAAAACCGTTGTCTTTGCACGCTCTTTTTTATTTAAAGGACAACGGTTTTTTTACCGTTGTCGTTGGTGTGTTGTCTTTAAGCGTATTTAAATACACAACACTACAAAGACAACGGTTATAAAAAAAACCGTTGTCTTTGCGCATCATTATTTTATAAAATATAAACAAGTATGTTAACAACAAGAGTCGAACATATGACCTCTAACATAACAAACTAAGTTAAACCCACCAAGCCACACCAACACTTATGTACTTAAGCACAACATCTAGGATATAACCAGTTTGGTTCTGTGTTGTCTCTGAGAACCAAGACAATAATTGTATGAAATATGTTAAGGATGCCCTTAAGAAGGATAGAACCCAAGATTTCTAATCTAACAAACAAAGCTAAACCCACCAAACCACACCAACTCTTGTTTACTAAAGTGTTACACCCACCAAGCCATAACAAACTAAGCTAAACGGTTGTTCAAAAGTTAATTTAATAGTTCTATTTTCGTTAATATTTAAATATAAAATTATTCACCAAAATTTCAATTTCAATTCATTAAAGTTTTATTTTCAATTACAATTAAGACCAATCTATGAATTCAAAATAATAATAATAATAATAATAATAATAATAATAATAATAATAATTATTATCAAGTATAAAAAATAATAGATTATATCTATAATATTTTTTTAAAAAAAATTGGGCTTCCAAAAATTGGGGGCCCTATGCGGTCGCGCCGGTCCGACATGGCCTAGAATGGCCCCGGCGGTGCGGTGTGGTGTTCCGAATGGTGCGGTATGGTGTGGAGGGTAAGGGCGGTATGATAGGGGCCGGGGTTGGTAATCGACCCTTCCGGCTAGCGCATGACTAACAAGGTTAGCTATATGTTGGTAATCGACCATTCCGGCATGCATGAGACACGTGGAGAATGGATATGAAAGAATAGTTGATATCGTACAGTAAGCTATAGCCCATTTCTTTTGCCGTGATCTTTGTAATAATTGGGCCGCCAGCTGTTTGGGTAATAAACCTCCGAGTAATAAAGGGCAAATTATGCTGTGCAACCGTGTGCACCATGCATGGTGCACACTGTTCTATATTCATGATTACCGAACTATATATTCATAATTTTTGAAAATTCATATTCATAATGATTGAACTCTATATTCATAATTTTCTATATGATGTTCATATTCCCAATTGTTGAACTATGTATTCACAATTCATAAAACTATATGTTCATAATTTGATAACTATACAGTTTAGAAATTATGAATCTACAGTATAGAAATAATGAATATATTGTATAAAAATTATGGATCTATTGTATTTAAATTATGAATCTATTGTATTTAAATTATGAATCTACGATTTAGAAATTATGAATCTAGAGTAAAGATTTTATGAATCTACAGTATATAAATTATGAATCTCGCGTTCTGTACATATATACTCGCTGGTACTATTTTGGGTCTAGCAACCTGGGTAATAAAGCTAATATTTTTTTATGGTGGATCCGGTCCCTACAAAATCATGAATATACTTTTTTTTTTTAAATGTTACTGGCTCGATCTCACAACCTTCCAAATGGAAGTCCAACCCGGGTACCATTAGACCACATAGTCTTGGTATGAATATACTTATTTAATTTTGAAAAAATGAAAACTTATTATAAAATTAAAATAAAATTTTGTTATTTTTCTAATTATATTAGTATATAGTATATAGTATATGTTATGTTATTTTTCTTTTTGCAAAATCAAAATAATTCCTTCAATTCAATTGTTTCCCTCTACAAATTTTTAGTTAGAACACTTAAGCGGGAGAAATTTCCCTCTTTGTAAATTTTCCCGTCAAACACTTTAGTTTCTAAGACAAAATTTCCGCTACCGCCATTCTCAGACATTCTCTCTTTGCAAACCTAGTGCTCTCCGCCGATCTCCATTCTCCTCAGACACCGCCATCTCTGCCATCTCCACAGTCAGCCCAGTGCTCTCCGCCGACCGTCCTCTTTTCGCGTCCAATCTCCGACGCCGTCCCAGCCCAGTCACTTTTTCTATGGGTTTGCATTTGGAATTGCAGTTGCCCTTATTTGTATGAGACTTGGGATGAAAACTGGTGAACCAAGTCCAAAGCTTTTCCAGCTCCATTAGGATTTAGAAATTAGTGGTAGTATCAACTATGTAAGCATTGTTTATGTATGGAAGTATATTTTTGTATGGAAGGTAAACTTTGTTTACTTGAATGGCATGCTGCCAAGTAATTACTTGAATGGCATGCTGCGAAGTTGAATACTATATGCTACATTGCTACTGACCAAAAAGTTCAAACCAAACTGCTAAGATGCACAAAAACCAAACTGCTAAACTCCAAGTGAGTGTGTCAAACCAAATTAAAAGCCAAAAACCAACTGCCAAACCAAAGGCCACAAGCCTACTGCCTACTGCCAGAAACCAACTGCCAAGTTGAATAATATATGCTACATTGCTACTGACCAAAAACTGCAAACCAAACTGCTAAGGTGTAAAGTTAACAAATAAAGATTAAAAAAAGTCAATTCATTAACATGTTGAAGTTAACAAAAGTGTCATTGTTTGGTTTACTTTACCAAAAGATCACATATCAAAGTTGATCACATATCAAAGTTTACAAAGGTGACAACTACTACCAAATTAGACCAAAGTAAACCAAAGTCACTTCTACAACATGTGAAATTCCATATGACTATACAAAAATATACCAAAATGCACTTTCAGTTTTGTTTCTTCTTTTCAATTGTTCTCTTTTTCCTAGCCTCTCTTTGAATTGCATGAGCCTGTTGTAGGCTTGAAACCGTTACAAAATTCTTCCCTGATCTTGTGATGACATTTGGAGTAGAACTTCTAACCTGTTGTGAGGAAATAAAGTTTGGCAGTGGAGGGCCTTGCCTATGAGCTACTTGTGTTGGTTGAGATGTCATTAACTCCTGAAATTACATCAGAAAAAATAGTAAATTCAACTGAGAAAATTACAGTATTAAATGCTCAAAGTAGTTCATTTAATTACCATCTCATCAAGTACAAAAGATGGGACTTGTGTCTCAACTGCTATATCTTCTAACTGGTCTTCAATTTGTACATCACTATGTCCAGCTACTACCTCATTAATCTCAGGTACCTACAAATGAATAACATTAAAAAATAAGCAAGTTATATTTACAATATGGATTACTCACTGGAAACTGATATGCACATTTTACACTCATATTTTAGGTACATTTTTATAATAATTTTGCATTGATTATTTAATATTATCTAATAATTAGTTCTTTTTATATATAATATAATATATAATATAATATATAATATATAATATATAATATATATAATATAATATAATATATATATATATATATATATATATAATATATATATATATATATATATATATATATATATATATATATATATATTATATAATATATAAGAATACATACTAATATATATATTACGTACTACTAGTAAATAAATAAATAAATAAATAAATATACATACTAATATATATATTACGTACTACTAGTAAATAAATAAATAAATAAATAAATAAATATATATATATATATATATATATATATATATATATATATATTAGAAATCAACAAATAAATTAAATAAATATAATATTTTAATTTGTTTGCTTTCCTAACAAAACGTATGGTGCAACACCAAAAATAAAGTCAATGGGAGCTATTCCAAGGCATTATTACAAGGAGTTTCAACATATGGCACAAAAGTAGGAAACAAGTGGTAGGAAATAGTTTAGGTTTATTTTTAGAATGCTATAAATAGTAGAAGTTTCTTATTGTAAAATGTTCATTCTTCCCCTCTCGAATATTCTTTAAGGTTGTTATCAATGTCCATTCGCGGCTAATTTCTTGTTTGGTTTAGTGAATTGAAGCCCCGGAGTTCATTACGCTGTAAGGTTATTTATTTATTTTTATTATATATTTTTTATGCATTTGAGTATTAAATATTCTTCTAAGTTATTTGAAATAATTGTGTCATTTAATTGCTAGGGAGGCCTACTAGTTATTTATTTGATATAATTATTTGCTATATTAGATAATGTTGTGCTACAAATTACTCTAATATTCAGTAGCAACTGGGTTAATTATTGACGGCTTAGTGATAATTGGACTCGGGTAGAATATTTTCCTAAATTAAATGCAACCGCTTGTGCTTGTGTTATTTAGTTTGTCGGTTTTCCTAGTTCCTATTGCTGCTATTAAATTAAATCTATAGCGCTTGTCTTAGGTTATTTAGTAGTTAGGGGTAATTAAACCGCGTGCGCTTTAGTTACCTACAACCAAGGGAAAACGGAAATGAAATAATTTCACGACAAATATTCAACTGCATATTAATTACTTTATAAATCAATGATTAGTG